AGATCCCCCAGCTCAAGCACCCCACCCCTCAGAAAATATATCCTAGAGCCGCCACACTGACAAAATACTGTTAAAAGAATAATGCAATTGTGCACAAACTTACATCATGACAAATGACAAACGGCTCTACAATTGATGATGGGGAAAAGGAAAGTAAATTTGAAGGGGGTGGGGTGGTTGACGTAATACGAGGTGATTTTTAACCACTAGAATGTATATCTTTTTGCTCAGCAAATATCTAAAGAAGGCTACAGCAGAACCCCTCCTTTAGGAAACCCATATTAAGGGAGCACCCCTACGGCCAACTCCGAGGGGACACCTCTATTAAAGGGACACTTTTTGGTCCAGAAAGTTAATACTCCATATTAATTGGAGAGATGTATTAACAAGTAAACTGAAAAATATACTGGAGTGACGAAGCGCAATTAAAAATTAAATGTATGTTTGTATGTGTTTTTGTCGCACATAAATACAAAATATGAAGCTTAGAAAATATGAATGCATGCTCTTAAATGGACCTTTCCGCTAAGCCCCGCCCCTTGGATATTGTTGCTAAGGTCCCACAAGGCGACAGTGTTAAAACATAGGCGAGCACGTGCGTTTGTGGGACAACACGTGTGTTTGTGAGACGCGCGCGTATTCCTAGCGCTGTTCTGATTAGTCAGTTGTTAAGTTTGATTGACACTCCGGAAAGGTCTATTTACAACATTTTTTCATTGATATGTAGATTTTGCATTTATGAAAGGAAAAAAAAATCCGCAACTCAAGAATTATAATTCAATTTAATTTTCTGAATAGAAAAAGCAGATATATACTTTTTTAAATATTAGCATTGGTTGTTTATTTTTTTTCGTGACGTCCGTTTTCCCATAAATTTTTCAACATGAATTTGATTAATAAGTTTGTAACGGCGATTTTCATATTTTTTTTAACGAATTTGCAGCTACCATACAGTCAGTAACTCACTGTATAGGCCGCATGCACACAGTGACAGACATTATTCAGATTCACTATTTATTCATTCATTATTCATGAAATGACAAACCCTTGTCAAGCAGTGGCACTTTAGGTCCTGAGTAAACCACGATATTTTAAAGATGTATTGTCCCATGCTAAATACCAAAAAAATGCATAAAAATAATTTTTGAAATTAACTTGCCCATTTTGAAGTAACATAAAAGTTATCAACTTGAACATAGAAATTAGTGTATTTAAAAAAATGTCTACCCATCAGTTTACAGTGAAAAATGATAGAAACACTTCCAGTCACTGGAAGTGTTTTATTATTTTTATAATTTTTTGGTTTAAAAATCAGGGTACACATTTTTTAAATTCAATAATTTTTATGCACCAGTTAATAATTTGTATGCTATTGCAATATGAGCAGGTTTATTTCAAAATTATTTTTTTAATGATTTTTTGACATTAGCAAGGGACAATACATCTTTAAAGAACATTTCAGACTTAATAATCTAGGAGACATGAGTGTAAGCCTTCATCATTAGTTTGCAGGTATAAAATATAAGGCATCGGAAACACCTTAAAAGTTTGAAGTTAATGCTAACCTTCTGTACCCTGGTAGTAGTGTCTCCAAAGGCAACGAATCTTGTCCTGGCCACCAACGTCCCATACTGTAAATGTCACATTCCTGTTTGGGGACACCTCCTCTACGTTGAAACCAATCGTGGGAATCGTTGTCACAGTTTCATTTAGTTTCAGTTTGTATAATATTGTTGTTTTACCTGAATCATAAGAGACAAAAATTTACCAAAATATCTAATATATAAACTGTAAAAAAAAAAAAAAAGTATTCAGTATAAATCAAAATAAATAAATAGACCTATACTAATTAAGGAGAAATATTATTCTTTTTTGTTGAACTATATGAATTTGTTCGCTAAACCTGCTATTGTCATACAATGACATAACATAAAATTTAACATAAAATAACATCGGCCTATTCAATCGCAAGATTAGGTGGCTGTAGGCATGTTGATATCTATATAAGCATTGTGAGCACTATAAACATGTCATTTTGTCTTCGCGTAAAAAAAATACAAATTCTGTTCCAATATATTGACTATGTATATTATGTGTAATCTGTGCACTATAAACAAAGGGTTGTATGTGCCGTCATCTAATGAATATTCAATTGCGAACAATATCATTACGTTCGACCAGCTGTGGACATTCTTATAGAGGGTCTGCTAATATTCTTACCCTATTCAAAACCCATAATAGCTATTCAATTATTTTTTAGAATTTTAAAAATGTCCATAGTTATTGAAAGGTTGCAAAGCTTATTGAAACAAAAATGATTCTGACAATGACGGATCGTACATTGTTTTAAAAATATTAATAATAAGAAGCATTTATATAGCGCCTGTGCAAAAAAAAAAAATCAAACGCTCAGCATTTAAAATTAATTTTTACAAAGTTAAAAGCTAAGTACAGTACAATAAAAAAAAATCAATCAATAAAAGTGACAAATATAAATTACTACATAAAATTTCCTACAAATAATGCCATTTAGTGTTAAAATAGCAACAATAAAACAGTGTAAGTATATATGAAAGATTTAAAAAGTATTAATTAACCAAGTGTTATACAATACAAAAAACTAGCCTATTTGTAAGAAAATATGTAATAGGTGTAGTAGGTAGGCCTATAGATCTACGTAGACCTAAGAATAATATCATAAAAAATGATTAAATCCTTACCTGCTGCATCTAAACCAAGCATTAGAATGCGACAAGGACCATCCTTAAACGAATTCAATAACATATCTCCTAACTTTGAAATAATCAAACCCATTCTGATACAATAAATCCGATTATTCGACGTTATTCAAATTTGTCCAATATCGTCTTCTGGAATTTACGAGTGGTATGTCACAACTGTCAAGTCTTCATCTTTATATAGGTACCCAGTTGTGTAATATGATGTGGTATTGAATACGTGGAGAAAATTGTGTCGCCTCATTTGCATTTCTATAAATAACCTAGGCGGATTTTAAATCTGACGCGGTTAGAAGTCGTGTTTCGCAGTGCGTCTACAAAAACATCGTCGACATGCAGGTCATTTATGTTTAGGGATAATCAAACGTCAAAGCCCTAAATAATAACAGCCTAAAATTTATGACAAGTTAGGTGATATTTTTATTGAAGAAGATTCCTTTGATCAACCGCCCAGGTGAACCGTTAGATTGTTACGGAAGGCGTTAGTTGTCTAGGTATACTGTATTAATATGTCAATAGGGCCTAATATGAAATTTATCAAGAATTTAGAAGGTGAATAATATGATTATTATAAATACAATTATAACAAAATGGTAAAATGGTAATGGTAATTGTTTACGCATCCTCCACGTCGTTCCAAGTTACAGTAAGGAACAGCGATTGTAATTACGTCATATATCAAAAATAGCATCGATTCTAGTAGCTGGCTCGCACATTGTAATACTATTCTAATTCCAAAAAATAATTTTTTTTATGTAAATGGGATTGATTTATAAAATTAAATTATTCTATCTTCTTTTTTCTGACCTTTTTTGTTATTAATTTGCCTATTGCTTTATATAATTAGTTTCAATAAACAACTGGATATATAGAAATGTAATAATGTAATTTTATAAGGTCACAGGTCAAACCACACTGCCAGATTTTTATCTGACGACGAAGAAAATATTTTCATTGATTTTCATCACACCTTAATTGATTTATTTACGTTTCTTTTAGACAAGTCTTCATTGGTGTTCAAACCATAAAACCGAAAAGACATGTCAGAATCATATGGTAAGTTAATCGAGTCGTACGTACGTTACATTTTAGTTTATTAATGAGGTAGGCTAGGCTAACTAAGTAGTAAAAACCTAGGCTAGGCCTAGTAGTAGGACCTACACTTACAGATTGAAATGCCCAACCTAGCTTCCGCAGCGTATTTCATAGCCTGCCTGCAGGAAGTCTATGCGCCCAGGCCTAGCTTTGGCTTGTCATATGGAGCAAGTCAGTAGGCCGAAGTTCCATTATAATCCTGATATTTATCTCAATTATTGATGTTTTGCAAATCATGAATGAATATTATTATGAATCATTTGCTGAGTGAACTTTATTTTTGTATTGAAATAAAGAGGTGGCTAATTTGTGGCCACCAACCTGGGGCCTAGGCCTAGGCCTAGACCAGTGGCTGGGTGGGCTACTAATAATAATTTAAGTAGGCATACTCAATGTTAGAAAGACTAGCTTCAGTTTTGTCAGCCTCGGCGTGACCATTGGGGAAAATCAAAATTCCCAAGATTGAGTCTAAAAAATCCCAAGATTGTTTTAAAAATCCAAGATTTGCAAAATATTAGTATATATTGTATACATAAACTTCATTTAAAAGTCCTTCATTCAAGCTTTTTCAATGAATTATATACTGTACAGTATTTTGTACTGTATAGGCCTAACAAAGTGTCTGGATTTTCGAGACCAGAAACTCGTTCGCTTTGGGGCGGAGGCATATTTTGTGTGGGGCCCAGTGGCGTATCTAGGAGTCTCGAAGTGGTGGTGCTGATGGGGAAGCTGCGAAGGTGGGGGGGGGGGAGCGAGTAATATTTCGAGGGGCATACTATTTATTAGAAGGCCTACTCTGTGAATACTCCTCTTCCGCAAATTGTTTTCTTGACAGCGACTCATCTAATTCTTATTTATAATCATTTTAATCGAAATAGGTTCACCATATCGTAAAAGTTTGAATACCCACCCAATTCGTTGGTGATCCTCAGTGTATGTTATGTTAATGAAACATGTCATACTGTACATCAAGGGAGTGTGTATTACAATATGCCAGTACCAGAGTTTAAGCTGGACAAAAACAATATTTAGCAATTTGGCTAACTTAGTATGAAAATAATTAGCCAAATAGAAAGTTGATTAACCAAAAACAAAAGAATATAAGGAATTAAGCTTTAATTCCATTAGCTTTTTGGCTAATTTTGAATGAAAATATTTAGCCAAATTCAGCTTTTATTAGGATTTGGCTATTTGGCTAATGACAGCTTAAACACTGCAGTACGTATTCTCACCATGTAACCATCGAAGGGTAGGCGTATTACAATTTTAATTGGGTCCCAATTTCACATGATGCTAGATCATCGAGGCTATATAAATTTGGCGGCAACAACCAATTGAATGATTTTCTATTTTTAAGTTCTTATATACTGAACGAGTAAAGTAACAATGGATGGATGGTTTTAACCAGGAAGGCGGGGGGAGAGGGGGATGGGTAGTTTGTTGAACTAAAACTTTGAAAAAGACGTGCGTGCCGACATAATATTTGAATTGCTGTAGAATAAGGTTTTCAAAAAAGTATGTTTGTAGTGGCATAGCCTACGTAAATACCTGACAGAAGAAGCTGACATTGGATGAATTTACTTGTATAGTGATTTTGCTTGCAGTTACAAAGAGACATGTATCTACTCCACAGTAGTCAACAAAATCCCCATGAGTAAAGCTTGCAGAACCAAACCCAAAGAAAGTGTGCAAACTTAAATATACAGTAATGCACTCTGGCAGTAACTCTATTCTAAGCAAAAAGGTTCGACAGAAAAGTAAGAAAACGAACAAAACAATAAACAAATAAAATCTTAAGAAAGGTGAGAGAAAACTATTGAAATAGGTGTGTTTTTAGATGGGCTTTGAACTGCCTAAGCGAATCTCAAAACAGATCTTTCCAAAGTTGGGCAGCAATTGAAGAATCGCTAGAAAAATGTCATATCATTCAAAAAATCCCAAGATAATGAAAATAATTTTTTAAAAATGCCAAGATCTCAAGGTGTCATAAAAAATGCCAAGATCTTGAAATATCCCAAACAGTGGTCACATTGGATGCATATGCAATACATTTAGGACCATTTAGTTACTAACAGAACAAATTACTGTACTGTATTTTATAATGTATTGTATGTTTATTATATTTAACGAATATACCCCATCGAAATATCAGACTTTCAATCATCATTGATTGGATTGTGTTGGCAAGTTGATCATCACTGTTTGATCATCATCTGTAAATTTTTGGGCATGGTGAGTTGATTTGATCATCATCATCTTCAATTAATTTTATCATTTCCATGATATTATCACACAATAATAAATAATTAACAATTCCATTGAACAGCGAGATAAATTGTTTAAGCTTTATGAATATTTGTTTTAATTAAATGTCCCTTCTTCTGATTTCAGACTTTCTCTTCAAATTTCTTGTGATTGGAAGTGCTGGTACTGGAAAGTCATGTATCCTGCACCAGTTCATTGAAAACAAATGTAAGACTTCATCCCTGTTTGTGATATATGTTATGTTATATATAATAGTTTTGTACATCGTCACAACCTTTAAAAAGTTCAGTTCATAATTTCCTAGTAATAATGGACCATAATGTAAATTATTTTAATTTCCAGGCGATACCTCAAAAACTAGCTCAAATTTTTGCGCAAAATCGCTAGAAAAATAGATGCATAATATAATGTTTATATTAAGATTACTGTAGGTCAAAGCCTAATTTTTGGCAAAATCTGTATTGAAATCAGCCCTTATTTTCTGAAATTTGCAGACGGATTTCTGGGCCAATTTTTTGCACGGAGGATATATTGCCTGTGCAGTCTTTACTTACTTTACAGTCTGAATACAGTAATAGATATTAAGAACAAAACTAGATATAGTGAAAACAAAAATATTAATATCAAGAGGCATATATTCTTCTACCAATGCAACTCAATTGAAATGTTGAGACTCTCAGCAAATACTACAACAGTTATTTTCAGAACTATCTATGGGGTGTATCGCAAGCATTTACAGTATTATTATTGTTACAGTGTCATACGCCATGCTAACCTTCAATAATATTAAGAACAAAACTTTTTTATTTTTAATCTGTTACGACCTGGCGATATTTCATTATTATTTAGAATTTTTATTATTGTAGTATTATTAGTAATAAATTTCTAGATATTAATTGCTTATAAGTTAGTAATATTGTATGTAACTAAAAATGAAGTAGGGCCTGCAAAACTGTTTATTTAATTATTATTTTGAATTTTAAATAATTGTAGTAATTATTAGTAATAAATTTCTAGATATTGATTGCTTATAAGGTAGTATTATTGTATGTAACTTAAAATTGAATAAAGTAGGGCCTATAGTTATATTTAACAATAGACTTATTGCTAAATATTTTTTAAGTTAATAATTAAAATTAAGTACAAAGCTGTATTTTAAATCTTTCTGTAATTAAAGTAATGAACATGGTGATCTTTCATCATTATTATTTTGAATTTTTATTATTATAATAATTATTAGTATTTCAATTTATATTATATTGATTGCTTATACAGGTTGTATTATTGTATGTAATTTAAAATTTGTTAAAGTATAAATTTATTATTAAATATTTTCAGTCAAACAAGATTCAAATCATACTATTGGAGTTGAATTTGGGTCAAAAATTATCAATGCTGGTGGAAAATCGGTGAAATTACAAATCTGGGACACAGCTGGTCAAGAGAGATTCAGGTGAGATTTTCATTGACAAACTTATGTTTACTCATGATGTCTCTATATATCCCTGTTTCTTAATAGGTGGCCCGTGGGCCAAATTTGGTCCACAGAGTATAGTAATTTAATTTGGCCAGCCAGAAAAAACAAAATAATAGAAAAATATTTAAAACAAATTAATTAGATATAATAATGGTCGGCTTGGAACGCATACTGTATTGTGGAGATCTCTATGTGTTTAACATAAACGTGAAAACAAAACGGACCAAGAAAGTACTGTATTACTTAATCTAACCCTACAGACAAGCTACAGTAAACCTACGCCTAGTATTCAACGTTATAATCATTCGATGAATACATTTTCAATAAAGACAAAATTGCAACCAATGGGTCATGTGCATTGACAACTTTACAGGAAAACGGTTTGGAGGCATTTGAAAAAATAGGAGGAAGTTATAAAAGGCCATAAATTGAATATAGGTCTATATGCCTACCAATGTACAGCCAAGCCCAAGTTTTGCATCTGTTCTGTTCAATGTGTTTCGTCAATAGTGTTTGAACTTCATTTATACATTGTTATTAAAACTTGCTGTACAAAGAACAGTGCAATAAGGAAATAGTTACCAAACGTTACAGGTAAAATTAGGTTCCTTGTATATACATTAAGTTTTGTTTTTATTGGATTTATTTATTGTAAGTGCCAAGGATAAGCAATGAAAGTCTGAAGAAAAGACTTATTTCCAGTGGGATCCTTCTGATGGTGATTCTGCAGTACACCAGGAGACAATCCCCTACTCTTGTCCAAAGAGTGTACTGCATTCTTTAACATGCACACAGGACCAACACCTTATACATCTCATCCGAAAGAGAAAGAGTTTGCGCTTTTTTTTATTTCATCCTGCTAGCTGAAAGACAAGGAAAGCAGTTGATGGAATTGAACTGGGTACCAAAGGATATCCGTGGTTCAGCGCACACACACAGTAACTCCCAACAGAATACCCTATGCTACTCTGTAAATAAATGAATTTAGAAAATGACTACCTATCAGTTGTATTGCTCTTTCAGGTCAGTGACAAGGAGTTACTACCGAGGAGCTGCAGGAGCTCTGTTAGTTTATGACATTACAAGGTAAATACTGCAGCTACTGTACATATTTTAGAAATGTCCTGTGACCATTATCTTAAGGAACTTACTGTTTTTTGATACCTTGTTTTGCATTGGTAAAGCTGTCTCGCCAGTGTGATTTTCTTTTAAATCCTATTTTCTCCTCTGTCTAGATCTGTGTTGGGACCATTTTGGTAAATTAAAAAAACAAAATGTAATTTCAATTTGTAAGTTCTAGTTTGTTTAAAAAAAGATTAAAAAGTATGGCTTGTTATGTACTTCATATTTTAGGCAGTGGCTATTGTAGTACCAGCCTTAAACAAATTCCTAATTCTGATTGTATATTATATTATGTATGGCTTGGATTACGATCCTGTTCTGCAATATTTTTAGCCCATGTCCCAAATTAAATGTCAGGCACTCAGATGCAACTGATCGGACCCGAAGGCCAAATTTATCACTTAAAATTTATAGTAAAATGGGTTATTGGAAGACATAGACATATTTAATTGACAAGAAAAATAATTTTCATCTGAAAGCTGAACACAATGAAATAAACAAAACTAAAACTTTTTAAGTTTGTCATATCTGAAGTACAAGTGTTTTGATAGTACAGTACATCATTGAACATGAAACTATTGATAAAATATGCATATGCCACACATTTAGGCACATTTGTTTACTTTAAATATTATTTCGTTTGTCGTTGTTATCGCAAGTCAGTTTTTCCACGATCTAAAGAGATTTTGTCCCAAACACTGGATTGTGGAACAGTGTTAGGACAATAACATCCAATCAGAATATGTAATCTATTTAACACTGGTGTAAAAATTATAGCCACTGCCTATTTGGTCAAAGATCATAGAATCCCAGATTTATACTACTGTATCTGTATCATTTTTTTTTTTTTTTAATTTCTTTTTAGCCGTGAAACCTACAATGCTTTGACAAAATGGCTGACTGATGCCAGAACTCTTGCCAGCCCAAACATTGTCATCATTTTGTGTGGAAACAAGAAAGATTTAGATGCAGATAGAGAAGTCACCTTCCTTGAGGCTAGCCGCTTCGCCCAAGAAAATGGTAAATCACCGTTGTAAATAATGATATGTAAATCCTTGCCGAGACACAAGGGCTCATAGGGCTTGAGCTTATCCCCAGTTTCTGTAGTGTAAAGTGGATGAGAGTGGGATGCTGGTACCCATTGATACAGCTGGGAGACCGAGGCAATGTAGATAAAGTGCCTTGCTCAAGGACGAAATGCACAGCGAAGGACTGAAATACCAACATCAAGGTTGGGAAACCAAACCATTTCCACTGTGCCAAACCGCTTCCATATCATCATCATTGTACTGATGTTGAATTAAACAATGATTAAGAATATTATAAACGTGCATTCTAGTTTACATATTTTTCTTGAGATCTCAAATTGACATCAGTAATTATATGTATTATTCTTAGATTATCAATATATAGTTTCTAATAATTAAAGATCACAATAATAAATGCAAAAATAGAATTTTTAACAAAATTGTTATAATTTCTGTAGAAATGATGTTCTTGGAGACAAGTGCTCTGACAGGAGAGAATGTAGAGGAAGGCTTCTTGAAATGTGCAAGGTCCATATTGAATAAAATAGAATCAGGTAAGATCCTATCAATGATTATAAAAGTTACATTATGACACCATCTTCCCGATGAGACATTTAGCCGGTCCCATGTGCAACATAATAATAAGAATAATAATAGTGGATATTTGTGTAACACCGGACGCTCAGTGGTGGCACCAGTGGGGGGGACAGGGGGATTAAGCCCCTCCATCGATCTGGTCAAGGCCCTCATCGGCCAAAGCTCGTCGGGCAGTCGAACCAAAAAAAAAACATAGGCCTAGTTTTCCCATCCCAGCTATTTCCGGCCTTCTAGAAGTCCCTAATTTTGTTTTGGGAGGAGGGGACATTCCCTCCCATACCGACCCCCGGCTCAGGCCTTCGGCCCTCAGATAACGCTGCGCGCTATAGTTAAACCCATTAATACTTAGCCCCCACCCAGTCGGACACCTTAACCAACACTCCCCCCCCCCATAAATTATATCCTGGAGCAGCCACTGCGGACACTCATGGCACTTGATGTGTGTACATTCAGTCCTGTATCCCTAAGGGTCTCTTTGTGTCTTCGCTACCCGGAAAACTGGTACCAGCTACTTTCGTCTGTCTGCCAAACGGGCTGTGTAGCCTATGTACATATTAAAGACTGCTGTACACTCTTCAGAAAGGAGTGGGGGATTTGATTTGTCTCTTGGTTACTGCCCAATTCACCACCAAAAAGACCCCACTGCAAATGTAGATTAGGTGGGCTTGTTATCCTTGTGTGTTTCACATGCAGAATACCCCTAATTATATTCTAGCTCATTCGAAGCAGTGCACTGGGAGAAATGATCTTTGTAACCACTTGTGTTCCATCTTGATAATAAAAGTGATAAAAAAAGAAAAATAAGGAGAATGTAAGGTGGTAACGAATTCGAGATGCAAGAGGTAATAAGCAATCAAATTTTACCTTTTTAATTTTGATGTTTTAACTTTTTAAGGTGAGCTTGATCCCGAAAGAATGGGTTCTGGTATCCAATATGGTGATGCATCGTTACGGAAAATCACGAGACAACCACAGAGGACTGCGGGAAGTGGTGGACAACAAAACTGCGCGTGCTAAAGAAGATTATCATGTGAGGGTTAATAAAAATCAGAATACATCTCGTTATAAATGTCATAAATCGAGGCACACTGTTCAAGGTAACAGTTATCAACATAGTAAATACTGTACAATACAATATGAGGTCTGTTTAACATAACTGTTAACATAGTGCATATTCTTATATATCTCATGATATCTGTATCTCTATATATATGTATATTAAAATATATGTGGTTTGTATTACTTTATTCCTTGAAGATACCTTAAATATATTTGAAATTTCACATCTCATCAAATGTGCAATGAAATGCCATTCTTGTTGCATTTTCCCTTTTTCTTTTTTGCTAACAATAAAAGCTATGACATTTTGTTTATTTTTAATCAAAGCATTTAATTCCCATTCTTATTGTATTAATTGTGATCATTAGCAAGTGCTTGAAGCGCTTCTGGTTGTGAATGGGTAATTAATGGAGTGTTCCAGACTATCAATCAAATTTAACAGTTCTGACCAATCAGGGCAATGCTGTAGTTTTGTGGAAACTTAGCAACAATATCCAAAGGGCGGGGCTTAAGCTAGTCGCTGGCTCACTGGGAGTGCTAAGCAAGTGCTGGTTGTCAGCAAGTCTGAATGAATCATTTTTATTGCGTTGGCTGACGACCGTCGGGCACAATGAATGCCCTGCCATTGTTGCTTTTGAATGAATCCAAGAATTGTACTGTACCTTCATCTTTCTGGTAGTTTAGGCAAACGTTCCATTCTTAACTTTTCCCATTAAGCACTTTTGAATATTATAACACATTTAGTTATCTTTTATCTCTAACTAACCAACATGGATTTAACAAATATATGTTGATCATTGTTGAATAATAGGAATATTAACTATTGTTGAATAATAGGAATATTAACTATTGATTAGATGATAACCACCCTGTGATTTTGTTTATCTTGTGTTAGCTTGAAAAAAGAAATATAAGAACGGTAATTGTTAGAACTGAACAAATGTATATGGGTTAGTATGTCATGTACGTATACCATTGATTTCAAAAAGTATATGTAATAATTATAGTGTAGTATTCATACTGTTTATGAGATTATTATGTATCTGCAAACCAATATTTATTTAGTCTTTGTTTATTGGGATGGTTTGCTTGTAATGATACATTATGTGTCAGTGTAAATAATGTTTTAAGACTCAGTTCTGGCAATTGAAAAATGTGTATTAGTAATCAGAGATTAAATGTAAATTTCACTAGTGAAAGCAGGTAAAAAGTAGATGAAAAAATGTTTATGAATTTGAAGGAAAAAAAGTCTATAAATTTAAGGATTTTCTCTTGTTACTTAAGATTTTTGTATTGTTGTATCCTTTTTAAGTACAGTAATGGTTTTGAACCAAATTACAATGATTGCAATTACATTACAACCTCTAATGATAACATTAGAATTAATTTTACTTTGAGAATTTTGCTCGTAAAATACAGTTACTGATTATTTGAAGGGGATACGCTTGTCAAATCATAGAAACTAAAATATATTTTAATTGAAGCATGTATGCATTTGTATTTATTATAGGTATCTTGTATACAATAACGACCACTTTATTATTATTGTTTTAATTTAGGTTATGTTCCTGCTATCAAATTACCTAATGTCCTGTCAGGGTATTGGATAAAGCTTGATACTGTCGATAGAGCTTCACACAGTAAACTTGATTGTTCAGCTTTTGTATGTTTAAAATAAATAAATGGATAAAACAGATGCTCCTAAAAATTTGGACAAGGAAAAAAGCTGATATGAATAACATGTACTATACAAGAAAGTACATGCTCCAAGTATTGAAACACACACCATCATGTTGGGATTCGATATTCCTGATGATGATATAATGTTGAAATATTGAATCCCAAAACGATGATGTATATTTCAATACTTGGAGTACCATAATTTCTTATCTGTGATTAATCAGTGGACCTTTTGGTTTTTCATGTATTACTATACCATACTATTAACAATGATGATTATAGCACATACCAACTAAATAAAATGCACTTTTTCGTACATTAGGTAGTGGTCACATGATTTTATTTCTTGGTAAAGTTATTTTTTATACATGAATCTGTTGTTAATGTTGATATCGTACATTCCCGTAAAAATAGTGCATGTTCAGATACAAACTCTACTATTGTTCAATATAGTGATCTTTGTATAATGAATTCTAGATTACTTTCTTCCCACTTTGAGACATAGGAATAAATTGCAAGTGTACAGTACTGTTTACATTGTTTATTGTGTTGAACTGACCAATTAAATTAATCATGTATGAATCATAAGATGCAACTGCATGTAGGGTGATGCGAGTAGGGGTCGATGAGGTCATCGGATAAATAATTAAAAAAAATAACTCTAATCAATTTTGATTATCAATCCCTAATATTATGTGAACTAAAAGCACAATTTGGGCCATACTAAAGCCATAAAAACTTTCCCTATCAATCTTACCAGGGATTTTGTTTATTCTGGGATCCGGACGAAGGCGCTAATCGCCCCTTGGTTTGGATCCCGTCAGCAAATTTATGTAGTCACCGCTGACTGAATGATGCTTCTATTCCGCTTGACACTTAAGCCTGGTTCTCACGAGAGCCCTAGTATCCGGATACCGCTAACGGTTAGCACGTTGAGCGTGATTCTATCATCAACCAATCACACGTACGCGTTTACAATTTCCAGTTTCTTATTGGCCAGGTGATTCGATCATCATATTCTTGGTATCCGGATCGGGATCTTGGTCGTATGGACGCATGACAGCTAACGGTTAGCAGGATCCGGATCCTGCGAACCGTTAGCTGCCGTGTGAGAACATAGCCTTAATCTCTCTTGTGAAAAAGCTACATGCCTATAAATACTGTGATTCATATTAAAAACTGAATGTAGTTAACGGGCGTAAGAGTAGCGGTATTGCTTACGTTTGCCTAAATTGTTCTATACAAATATATACATAAGTACTGTACATGGCATACTGTACACATTAAACAATTTTCATGATTTCATTGCTTCGTACTCTTGGTTACTCACTGTACACAAGCCACCAGCAGGAATATAGTACAGTAATGACAATACACCAGTTTTTATATACAGGTAGCGCATCAAGCCAACAAAGCCTCTGTACGCCTCACATTATTAACTGTTAACTGGATGAAACACCTACGAGTCATACATACTGAGGTCTCAATAATATCAGAACATTGGCAATCAAGCATACTATAAAAGACAACAACCGTAGGTAATGTGTAAAAACGACAGCGAGGGATTCAAACCGCCCTCACTTCAAGGTTGAGAGCCTTAATCGAATGGTAAACGCCGCACATAAATGCTCCCACACAGCTTGATAAACAAAAAAATATTCATTCAGAATGGGGTACAGTACTCTACATTCACTGATAGTGTCATAGGTTCTCCTACAGTAGTTTTATTACAAAATAATAACTTTAAAAAATACAATCTTCATTAAACTAAAAAGCATTAAATGCCTATAAAATATTTAAAATTTTATTTTATAATATAAAGAAGTCAGTAGCTGCTGAGAGAATAAGCAAAATTATAAAATGTAATTCAAAGATTTGCCTATCCCTATCAATCATAAATTAAATTATAATATGGTTACATTTCAAATATACAAAATAATAAATACTGTTAATGCAAAATGCTGATCATTGTGGCATAAATTTGAATTTGTTTCTATGACTTGCATAATTTGTTTCCATGATTCAACTACAGTAATAAAATAATAATACTTTTTACATACCTTGTTTAGCTATTAAACAAGCCGCCTGCCAATAATGATGGTTTCAAATAAAAAGAAAATTTTATTTTTGGCCAATTAACGCACACGCCACCACAAAAAATTAAAATTTTAGAAAAAAATGCCTGCCTTGAAATCTCCAAAAATAATATGTATATTTCTTCCCAATTATATAAATTTAAAGTATTTAACCATCCCATTAATACATTTTTTACTTTCACTAATAAAATTTTATTTTTATTTTCTTCTCCGTCTGGATGTTTTTGGCAAAACTATTTGCTAAATAAGAAAACAATTTTTTGTTTACACTCACCTGACGAGTTAAGTTTGCGAAACAAGGTATAAAAACAGTCTCGTCTCACGAAATTACGCATTCTGCAGTTGCAACACTGAGAATATTTCGCAAGACCCCATATACAGCAGACCACAGGTGGGCAGAGTGCAGCCTGACTGGGGATAAACCCCCTCTTGTTGCCTAGAAAAAACTATTTTAAGCAGTACTGTGAAGGTAATGTGGCCCAATTTTTTTTAAAAGAAAATATTTTCTCTCATTTTTTGTTCAGATAACTTGTGTAAGACAGGAGGCTTTACCTGTCTGATGGGGCAGCAAGTCTGCCTGCCACCACCACTTGCTGTACTGTTGGTTTTAGTGAAAGAAATTGAATTATTGCAGCATATTTATGCAGAGCTAAGTCAATATTGTAGAATATTCAGTGAGAAAAATTGCTTTGATACTCTGTCTGCCAGTTATCCTTTGGGGGAACCATACTGAAGTAATGTCTGAGTTTAGGAACTTTGGGTTTTCTTGCTTTTTGTCGTCTTCTAGCTTCTTCCTCTTCAATTACCTGCTGTCTCATATGAGCACTCAAAGCGCCAGGATATACTGAAGAACGCTGAAAGATGAAGGAAGATGATCACTGCCTAGCCTAGCCCGGCCCTGGCCTAGCTTAGCCTAGCTCTATATTTGACACTGTACTTCAATTTTACAACAGCATATTAAGTTTTGTGTCTCAATTATGTTCTGCATCCTGCAAAACAAAATTCAATTCCAGGAAACACAGTATGATCAAGTCATTACCTCATTTTGTTACTGTTTTTTTTAAATTTTTTTTTAAATGGGACATTGTATTTGGCACACTAGTACCCTATTCAGACTACACTTCGTTATGATTGGTTGCGATGTAGTCAGTGGTAATATAAAACTGATTTCTCCTGATCGCAAACATGCGCATTCAGACCAAATCAGACACAAGCAAACTTTATATTGGAACAGGAGGTCAAATGGCCTCTGGTGGCTAGGCGTAAAAAAAAGGTGGTAGCACCCAATTGCAAAGGTTAAAAATTGCGATAAAGATTTATTGACTACTATTGGTGAGTTTTCACATGATTGTGAATACAACTACAACCGATGGCAATGTGATGCTAGTCTAAATTATAGGGTATAAACAAATGTTTTGTGTATTAAGGCTTAAAATCTCTCTTTGCAGAGAAATTAATTGAATCGTACCAAAAATCAAAGTTTTTAGTGGGAAGCGCTTAGGGAAAAATGGGGTCTTAAGCCCTGTCTAGACTATCAATTTGTATTTCCCAAAAACATGTGACATGCTTATATATGGTCATGATGACATCACATCATGACCTATATATAGGCACATCAAGACTATATATGGGCATACAACAGTTTTTGTCAAAGAAAATTTGATAAATTTGGACAGAGCTTTAGATACTCCAATGATTGTGGGATCTAATTTTCTATCAATGTTTTTAGTGCTAAGCTGATATAATATATATTTGACAATAAAAATGGCGTATGCCCATATAGTCACGATTTGCCTATATACTGTATGGTCAGGAAGTGATGTAACCATGGCCATTTTTAGGCATGTCACGTGTTTGGACAAAGCTTTAGAGACAAGTCATTGCTTACATTACTCATTGATGCTTTCACATTATGTGTCTGCTTCCTTCCGACTTCCCTCTTTTCATCAGCTAATCCATACACAATAAATGGTGGCTTTTCAGCTTTTCTGAGCTGAGGTAGCTTTTCAGTCTTACGGTGCGAAGGTGGCTCCTCAGGTTTACTAAGTAAAGGTAGCTTTGCAGTTTCATTGTGCAATGGTTCTTTTGCTTGTTCACAAAGCTTTTTCTTTAACTTTCTTGACTTTTTGTTCTTTGATGGTTTCCTAACTCCTGATACTATTGCATTTGGTTCCATTTGCTTTTCTAAAATAAATATATAAACAATGTTTATGTATAAAATATATTTTTTAAACATTATGAGTTTAATATAAAATTTCAAAAAATCACAGATCAAAAAAAAAATACCTGTGTTTAGTGAATTGAAGATATTTTAATATCTGAAAATGTTATGTTTGCCAGCATAAATTGAAGGGTACTAAGAATACCTGTCTCTTATACACATCTAGTCTAAATTATAGGGTATAAACAAATGTTTTGTGTATTAAGGCTTAAAATCTCTCTTTGCAGAGAAATTAATTGAATCGTACCAAGTTTTTAGTGGGAAGCGCTTAGGGAAAAATGGGGTCTTAAGCCCTGTCTAGACTATCAATTTGTATTTCCCAAAAACATGTGACATGCCTAAATATGGTCATGATGACACTACATCATGACCATATATAGGCACATCAAGACTATATATGGGCATACAACAGTTTTTGTCAAAGAAAATTTGATAAATTTGGACAGAGCTTTAGATACTCCAATGATTGTGGGATCTAATTTTCTATCAATGTTTTTAGTGCTAAGCTGATATAATATATATTTGACAATAAAAATGGCGTATGCCCATATAGTCACGATGTGCCTATATACTGTATGGTCAGGAAGTGATGTAACCATGGCCATTTTTAGGCATGTCACGTGTTTGGACAAAGCTTTAGAGACAAGTCATTGCTTACATTACTCATTGATGCTTTCACATTATGTGTCTGCTTCCTTCCGACTTCCCTCTTTTCATCAGCTAATCCATACACAATAAATGGTGGCTTTTCAGCTTTTCTGAGCTGAGGTAGCTTTTCAGTCTTACGGTGCGAAGGTGGCTCCTCAGGTTTACTAAGTAAAGGTAGCTTTGCAGTTTCATTGTGCAATGGTTCTTTTGCTTGTTCACAAAGCTTTTTCTTTAACTTTCTTGACTTTTTGTTCTTTGATGGTTTCCTAACTCCTGATACTATTGCATTTGGTTCCATTTGCTTTTCTAATTAAATATATAAAACAATGTTTATGTATAAAATATATGTTTTAAACATTATGAGTTTACTATAAAATTTCAAAAAATCACAGATCAAAAAAAAAATACCTGTGTTTAGTGAATTGAAGATATTTTAATATCTGAAAATGTTATGTTTGCCAGCATAAATTGAAGGGTACTAAGAATACAGAACAGGAATGGTATTACTTAAATGTTAGTTATTTGGAGAGTTGATTGGCTGAGTGGTTAAGTCAAGAGCACTGTAGCCTACAGCCATGATAATATCAGTACTGGTTTGAACAGCATGCTCATCTATGGGTCTGGTGGTGGGACAACAAGTCCTCTAGGACTACAAACTGCAGGCCAAGTGTACTCAATAGGCTCATATGTACTTTAAAGAACCTAGAACACCATTTGAGACAAATATGGGGGATAATCTGGTGTGCTGGTCCATTCAGCCCCTATGGTGGACAGACAGATGAAAGTAGTTAGTACCTGTACCCGAATTCCCGGTAGCTAAGACATGAAGGGACCCTTCCGGGTGCAGGAAGTTACTGAACGAGATATTATTATTATTATTATTCTTATTATTAGTATTATTATTCTTAAAATTATATAGCTAGTAGATTTAAGCTGGCTTGCCACTATAGGCTTAGCCAGCGAGCGAGCCGTCCGGCCGTCTTTTGGACAGCCTACAATTATTTAGGACGGCCACTTTTACCGTGACGGTTTGGCCTAATCAGCTTGGCCTAGCCTAATTGGGCCTGGTCTACCTTTAGCAAATTCTTTATAATCTTCAAATCGAGTGTTACATTAAACTAAAGCTAAATCATATTTACGTTTAATAAAAACAACATTTATTGATTGAATGTACGTTGTTTTCGTACCAATATTCGTCTGGGATTCCCATGGCCTGCCCATCGGCTCAGTGCTACAGTATGCCCACTGGCTTCCATTTTGGACGGCCTATACCATTTTTCTGGCTAAACCCCTGTTTGCCACCAGGCGAATTTATTCTTGAGAATCAAAGAGTCGGTTCACTTCCTGAGCTCTGATTGGTTGCGCAAAAACTCGGATAGAAATGAGAAGGCGCATGTGCATGAAGCCACGCTTTGATTCGAGCGAATAAATTCACCTAGTGGAAAACAGGCATAAGGTGGCAGCATAACATTAATACCTGCTTCAACATGTGCCTTTTTGTTATTATTTGGTACTGAAGAGTGATGAGATTTTTGTTTATTACAGATGCCATGCTTAGCAGTCAAATCTTGTTTAGCAGGTAATGTTTCTTCATCATCAGATGTGTCGCTGTCAGTTTCTTGCCAGTCAAACGGTTGATGTCTGTGCTCCAGTTGTCGCCTCTGCGTGCAGTACTCAACTTTTTCTTGGTACTGCGCAACGTATGTTTGCCAAGAGGGCTTCAGATACCGTCTCCCATATTCGCTCTTGAGGCGTCCCATTGTCACTATTCATTGCAAGTTGAAAAAAGAAAAGTAAGCTTATTTTGAATTCATGCATGCAAGAGTACAATGTCACATAAAATTGTTAGGAATGATTATCGGATATGCCTTAATCCAACGTGCATAAAGACAGCAAGTTTGAGGTTAGGATTAAGCCAGCTCTCACTACTGTTGGAACAACAGGCCCTACATTAAGGCCTAAGCCTAGTATTACTATTAGCCTATTATTAATAAATAGGCTATGCCTTCTTCAGCAAGAAATAATTATTTATTTCTACTTGCATCAGCAATACCATAAACTAAAGAAAAGTGGCTAGCCAGATAGCCTAGGCCTACTACTCTATCTAGAGTCTAGTTAGTAGTATAGGCCTGTAGGCCTAGGCTAGGTATAGTTCAGTGCCAGGCTTACCTAGTAAGGCCATACACTTGGCACAAAGCAGCCTCAGCCCCTGGCTGCCTGTCCTAGCCGAACTCATCATAAATTAATCACACTGTCACAGGCCTTGGCTAGGTTAGGCCTAGCTCAGACCAGCCTAGGTGTTTCCTCTAAAAAAGATAAATGAACCCGCTACGTACCTCTTTAATATATTTATAACTACAAACTGATGTATTGTGGTTCAACATTTGATATCTTCTTCAATATTGACTTTTAATATTGTATTTATAAAAACCAGATGAAATTAAATTTGCCATCCGCCGCGCGCCATCTGGAGACAAAAATAAATTTGAAACAATTATGAACTCTGCCCTCTTGTGGTCACTTCAGTTCAGTATATATATATATATATGATTCAAAAAACGAAAATTTACATTATACATTTTTCGTGCGACTGAAAAAGGGGAATTTATTTTATAGTAGGCCTACTTATTATTTATCTATTTATTCATATCGCAATAGCTTATCAGTATGATATAGGCCTATTCAGTATAGTTATATCAATAAGATAATTATGTTAACGGATATGAACACTTGATCTCGCACACAACATCTCGCTACCCCAGACAGTCACATGGATGTACACCATACAACATGGGGTTTTTTCATAGGGACTCATCAGTGCAACTGAGATAATTAGGACAGAGCCTTTGCTGTTAACAGCTTGACACAAGGTCCGATAGTGTTGATGAAAATGACGATGATAATGATGATGATGATAACGATTATAATTAATGTCTCAGTAAGTACGAGGAGCTATAGATTCGTACATTTTCAGCTGTTTGAAATATAATTATTTCATAATATTTTCTATCTAAAAATATGCCTGGTGTGCATTTTAATATACAAACGTTCTTAATTTCATGCCTATCTAGGGACATTGTTGTTTGGAAAATGAATCACTCGGGCTACCATACCCAATACAGATTTTGAATTATAATATCATTGCGTTAAAGTGAATCCAACAACCGCCAGCCTTTTCAAGTACTAGGCCTATCATTCTTAATTATGTTATTGTTATGTAAAGGTACGTATGCATAATACACCTATATACATTCATTCATTAGCGTGTATGCGTGTAACAACAATCCAAAACAACGCGTACCAGTATACTAGTTAAACCAGCATTTCCGTCATTAATCAACATAACAACCATTTCAAATATGTTAATCGGGACTGTTGTATTTATAGAAGGTAAATCGTTTTTCCGAAGTTAACAAATAATTACTTTCATGATTGAATTTATAAGCATCCGAAGCATGTATCATCTGATTGGCTGCTGCGATGCATCTGTAAATTTACATCTGGCGCTGCGATTGGCTGCAATGCATAGGCCTACTGTTAATTTACATATGACTGCCAAGGATCCTGTAAATGCATTATGGTACTATGGCGCAGGACTCTCAAAATGTTAGCTTACGTCTGTACGTTAACTATAGGCCTGAGCCCATGAGTACGCCACTTGAAACTGCAGATCTAATAACAGACAAACATGATTATTATAATCATAAATTGACTATTTTTGAATATTGCATATTTTGTAAGCTTATATTTAACTAAGTTACGGTATTATAGCTTTCAATAAGAAAACAAAGAGTTTTCCTCCATCCCCTACTGACAGATAAGAGTTAGATTCGAAGTACGAGGCAGTGAGCTCGGCTTTACATTGACTTATCAGTTAAGAATGTTTGTGTTGTTATCAAAAAATGTGTAAATAAGGGAAAATTGGATGGTTTCGATATGTATCTTACTGAAACCTGGTAACCTATTCGATTCGTTTCAAAAAATTATAATAAAATATTCATTGATGTTTCCTGGTTTCATAGCAGATTTATAACAATTTATAGAAGCTTGTTTATTTGGCCACATTGTCGTCTGTATGATGAAACTTTTAAAAGCGTCAAACTAAAACAACTGATCAAACAGAAGGTTAGGGCTAGAAATACGCGAATGTCCCATAAACAATTTTACGTAGGCCTTCGTTTAATGCTGTCGTTTTTCAAAGGGATTCGGTCCATTGTTGTACAGCGGTCGGTTTGAGTCCAATAATTCGTAGGCCCACATCATTGGACAGTACGATCATGTTACTACTGTGAGGGTGACGTCAACAGAATGGGGGTGGGGGTGAGGATATGGCTGGGGTGGGCGAGGAGATAGGGTTTCGTTTCTTTTGACATGTTAAATTGTAATTTTAGTTGGAAATGCTCTAGCTGTCCATCTAAAGCTACATATTAAGTAATGTATTTAATTTCCGTAGAGAATAAATTGAATCTAACAATTGCGATGCAACGTGTATTAATCGTTAATCGTATTGTAATTTTAATTCATCTTGATTTTACGATAGGCCTACTGTCTATAAAAAAATGATTGATATTCTATAGCAATGCATCGTTGGGAAGACAATCTTCAATCGAAATATTTGGATTGGATACGGTAAACAATGTATGTCGATTGTGTATTTTTATTCACTGCAAGCAAGACGTTCACCTTCATTTTTCAATGTCCCACGATAGAGTTTACTTATAATGACGATATTTTTTTGATTTCTATGGATATATTTGGCTTTATTTTCTACTTATAATTGCTATAATTTTTTTCACTTGTGTACCGTGATTTCGGTGTACTTTCAGCGCTCTATGAGGTCGAAATAAAATTAAGATAATTCTAAGACATCGATTAACACTCAACGCTATAATACAACTTCCGGTTAATTAAAATGAAAATTGAATTACCATGGCAACATGATGCATTCGCCGATATCGAGAATGTAAAAAGCAGGTGAACACCGAGCAGAGATGATGACAATGATGATGATAAAGGAGAATGATAATTAATAAATGTTGTAATATACAATTTCATCTGGTTTTATAGCCAATGGATTTGCACAAATAATTCATCTAGTTTAAGTCATGTTCAACATAATGAGAAAGCCTGCCTTATAAGTCAACATTATTCGTGCTTGATTTTAAGTAAAACAATGTATTTGGCTAACCATTATTTACGGAGTACAACAGAAGACGGTGATGTAATAATGTTGTTGAATACAATATTATGATATTAGGCATATAAGTTATTTTTTGTTTTGTTTTTGTACTATGTCATTATTAATGTTAATGAGCTCGATGATTATGATAATGACAATAATGCCATGAATGAAAAAACGCCATCGGAATGGATCTCAAATGCCACTCTAATAGTTTTCAGTAAGTGAAGTTAGAATGAGAGTTTTAATTATCTTGCCGATAATTTAATTCATGATAAAATAATTATAGTCTTAAAATACAAACATTATTGGATATAATTTTAAAACACTCTCGTTTATACTATTAATTAATTAATTAAAAAAATTAACTTGGCCTCATACCGGTAACCTAACAAGCATTGGAGAATAATTACTTAGTGTCTTAGAAGCTTCAGACGACACTTTTTATAATAATAATGCCGATGTTACATTTTTTTTACACCGGTGCATTAATCCGTTCCTACTTCATAATTATTTACTATTCAAAATGAATCATCTTCCACCTGATAATACGCACTAATAATACTATTAATAATTGATTAATTTGCTTATCGAAAGCCTTTTTTTTACCTGCACTTCCTATAAAATGCTCGACCTATACGATATATCACACCACTCCTGTCTAACATATATTTCGTCTACCTGAGTTTTAGTACAAATTCTTCCGGAACTTTGTATTTTACAGGAAGAAGGACTTATGGTAGCCGCGATCCGGCTAAATTACATTCACCTTAGGTCAATACAATGCAATGCGTAGCTATTTAAACATTACATATTGTCGTTCCAGATTTGTCAACAAAATTGTTCTGTCATGCGCACATAATCAGGAGCACTGATTTAAGGGACAGTGTCAAATTACTTTAAAGGAAAAAGTTACAAAAAGGAAATAAAACACCCCAAAGCGAAAAAATAACCCCTACAACCCAACAAAAATATCCTCCATGACT